GCTCCTGTCTATTCCAGGCACTTCTTTTTTAAAATGTTACAGCATTCTCTGAAGCAGTTCGTGTTTTTCCTACCGATGATGTAGGCTATGGAATTCATCTAAGATTGTATAAGCTTAGGCTCTGTATCCACCAAGTTCTAAGAACAACTGTTTGAAAAAATAAAAATATAATATTAGTATCACTCAACTCGGTGGTTGTTTGGTTTCCATAACAACAAAACAAAGGGTTTGATTGACTTTCTTTAAACTGATCCTGTTTCTGTTTCTATTGGACCCCAAATCCTTTGACCACGTGAAAGTCCTTGGGAAAAATGAAGATTTGACAACATTTCTCTTACCTGACTTCCTAAGCCTTCCTTAAGGGGAAAAAAAAATCTCCCTTAAACTTTTAAATTGAGTCCTAATATGGGCAATTTCAGTAGAGCATCGGGACTGGCCTTTGATATTCAGTTTATCGTAAGCCCAATCAATTGGCTTCCTGAATGAGCAGGACCAAATTTCTTGTGCCCCATCCCAGACTTCCTGTGAGTCATTAGTCGTGTACTGGTTTCTCACCAACTTTTCCAGGGCAGAGCAACATGAGACTCATGGGACCTCCTGCATTCCAGCTCCAAGAAAGAGTTCTGTCAACAGGCATTCATTTCAAGTACGGGTAAAGGCATCCCCTTGGTGTGTTACTCTGCATGAATATTGCCAATGCTAACATGTGCTGTGAGCCAGGCTTTCCCTGTACTGCCAACACAAAGAAGAATGTAGGAGCTCAGGGAGCAGGGTAGGGGACTTCCCTGTAGGATGCCCCTTGAGCCCTTGGTGCTGAGCCAGAGTTGCTCAGTATAAAGAGGATGCAAACCTTTTTGTTCTGATCCCTGCCCTGTGTTATTTTTTCTGGTCAAGAACTCCTTGCTTCTTTCCTTCCCAATCTCATCCATCTTCCAAGGCCAAAAGCATTCTATGTCCTTTTGAAATGTTCCATATTTTATGGATTTCCATCCTTTAGAAGTTTTGAGCATCCAAAACACATATACATTTACTACATACTTTCTTGTATTTGCTGTTTCAAACGTGTTTCAATCCAGCTTGTAAGAAGTGTGGGGTTTAAAAAAAAATCATCCTTATTTTATCAGAACTTGCCGCTAAGATGTAAACACCATGAAGATAATTAAGTTGTGTTTATTTATGGGTTGTGCTTAACAGACCAGAAGGATACTATGAACTCAATAGATATTTATTATACGGGAAAGAAAAACAAAAGTGCCTGGTACATGGCCTGAATTCAATTGTAATACCAACCTCCTGGTTCATTTGTGTCCTCAAAGGGCCTGAGAGTTACATTAGCTGTAAGGTAACCATGTTGTTATAGCTTATATACAAGGTGTCCCCCCAAAGCTTATGTGTGAGACGATGCAAGAATTTTCAGAGGTGAAATCATTAGATTATGAGAAGTGTGACCTAATGAGCAGATTAATCCACTGGTGGATTAACTATGGGTAACAATAGGCCAGACAATCAAAATGAACCTAAGTAAGACTTCTGATTTTTGTTGTTGTTGTTATGATTGCACACTTGTAGAATGTATACAAAAGGGTAGAGAAATTAACTGTCTTTATTCTGGGTATGTCTAAAAGAAGTAGGTCACTGGGGTAAAACTTTGGGGTTTGTATTTTGTCCTCTCTGCTCTTTCTCTATGTCCTGGTTGCTGTGTCCTGAGCTGTTTTCCTCCACCACATTCCTTCTGCCATGTTGTTCAACCTCACATGGGACCTGGAGCTATGGAGTCAGCCAATCGTGGATTGAATCTCTGAAACAACCAAAACAGCTTTTCCTCCTCTGTGTGTTTTTTGTCAGGTCTTTGGGTTACACTGACAAAAAAAGTTAACATGTGAAGCGTACTTCTAATAACAGGCAATTTTAAATGTCATTTTTTTATATTTATAAAGCCATGTAGATAACCCCCCCATCCTTTCTTATCTCATTGTCTGAGTAATTCTGTGATATATGATATATGCCTAGTAACTGATTTCTTAACATTCTACTCTGAGAGAAAATAATGGAACTGACCCTCAATAGTTTTGATTCATTGGCACTAATACCGTCAAGCCTCAGTCATGAAAGAGCTAGCTGAATAAAGAGAGTTAATCTCTGTACCCTTTCATATTCATTCTAAAAGAGTGAAATCATTACCAAAAAGAATATACCCTAAATGCATTTTTGGATTTCTAAAATTAAAACACAAGGACTWTCTTATTACATACACTCTGTGTTTCCTGCTCCAAACCTTGACCTTTTTCCTGACCATAAGCAACTTCAGGTTAAGCCTGCTCTGTTTCAGGCACACTCATTTTTTGTTGTTATTGGAGCTGTGTTCAGGTCTTCATCTCTGTCGATGAACCTGGGGAAATGAGAGCCATGGTATCAACAACCCAATGGATAACAGTAGTCATGTCCCTGGGATGAGCATCCTTCAAGACCATAGTCAAGAGGACCAGTCGACATGCACAGCAGGTCCACAGTACAGGTCTCCAACAAGGAGACAGAGCCCTGATGGGCTCCCATATGTCTCTGTTGTGCCTGGATATCCCCCCATTCAAAATTCCTCCCTACTCTCCCATCCAAGGAAAATAAACTCAACTCCAAGGTTAGATATATTTCTCTTTCTCCAAAAAAAAAATTAATCCCCGCTCTTACCTCAGTGGACACAATATCTGTTCACAGTGGCCAATCATTTAGGTGAGTCTTAATTGTTTAAATTCTCTGCTGAGATCAGAAACTCTCCTCAATCACAGCACTAGCCACAGGGTTGAAGACTGAGGTCAGTTCAGAGTTTCTCACATGCTGTCCCCTGCCTTCTGCCAGCCTGTTGGGGAACAGGTATCCAGGGGGAGAGGGGAAGGAGGAGGAGGAGTAAAAAATGGGAGGGATCAAGGCAGATCATTCCTTTTTAGGTGTAGAAGGCAAACTTCAGGCCACTAAATCCAAATCCACAACCGGATTGAGCCTCTGTACTGATTTGAGCTATTGCCCAACATTCTAGGCTTTAATATTTTAAGAAAAGTTTATTATGACAAGTCAATGACAGCACTTTTAGTAGGTCAATAAATCATGGACGTATCATATCACAGAGATGACAGCTATGTAAAGCATCACAGGAAACTTGATATTATTTCAACAAAATAGCAACTAGAGCCTTTTGGCACTTACTGCAATTTTAAGTCAAGGTTTAAAAATATGATATTATTAATATTAGTGAATGGGAAATTTTCTTGGATAGAATACTGAGAAATGAAACAATTCATTTGTTTAGTTCAAAGTTTATCCTGAGCTGGAATAAAGCATTATGTGGCGAAGGGCTTGCAAATGTGGCTTCTTATATTGATGTTCTGGTTATGTTTTATAATTTGCTAATATCAGGGTAGGGGAGGGAATGAAACCCAAACCAGATGAAAAATAGGATAAAAAGATTGTCGAGAGCTTTTCTTTCGTGGCCTCTTTCCAAGCATATGGAGAGAGAGGAGATGTTAATTTTTTAATAAGGTTTGGGGGTATGGTAGAGTTAAGAATTGGAGGCTGACCCAACCTTGTTTTGTTACTTCCATAGTGGAAACTTCGAAGCAGCTGTCAGAGCTGGGGTGACAGATGTTAGCAGTGAAGGGTGTAAAGGCAACAACTTATTCCTCCTTCCAAACTGTGAAAATTGTCCCAGGCCAACATTTTCCTATTCTGGTAGTGAGGAGGGCAGGGGAACGGCAGGATTAAGCAAGAATAATAAACCCTGATATTTGGATAGTACTTTCCAGCTTACAAAATGCTTTCACATATTTTTATCTCACATGATCTTCAAATCAACTTTCTACAATAAGCAGCCTCAGCAGTGAATGTAATTCTGTTCACAATGAGAAGGTGAGGGTGCAGGGAGACTGAAGGGCTTGCTTCCCAACCTACATCACCGCCTGGGGTGAAACAGGACAATAACCCAGTCTCCCCATGATTGGTTCAGAGCTTCACACATTCAGAGCTTCACCCAGTTTTCATCTGGCTTGCGTTTCTTCCCACCAACATACCGATATTAGCAAATTATAAAACATTACCAGGACAGCAAGAAGAATAGAAGAAGCAATAAAAGAAGCTGCAACTCATTCCCCCACTTAATTCTTTTCTCCCTCTCATGCTTGATTTTTTCAGTACTCCACTAAAGCCTATGTTCATCTCATGTCTCTGTATCTTTCAACCTCTTAACACTAGAATCCAACAGTTTGGTGGCCATGGTGCCTTGTGCCATGGTCCTTCCAGGGAGAGGTGGCCCCTGACTTCTTTCTTCCCCATCCTGGCTCCTTTTCTCTGGTTTTGGAGGATGGCGGAGGGTTCTTCAACCTAGAGAGGGTTTGGTGTTCAGAACAACCCTTGGCGAGGGCAAAGGAGCTATTATAGCCTGCCCCTCAGCTCCTAGGAGATGTTAATACAGTATTCAGCAGGAGCCTTATCATTCAAGGTTGATTTAATACTTATCAAGTTAAGGTGGCCCTTGGATTCCATGGCTTTTGAACAGATAAAAAGAWGGAACTATAACTGAAATATGCTTAGTATGTCAATACACAGCTGGACAGAAACTCTAATAGTCAAAGTAAAGYAAGACAACTTATTATTCCTCCCAACTTCTTCACTCTTCCAGTCTGTTTTGTGTGACACTCTACCCTCCAAAACTGCTCTGAAAAAAATCATTTCATGTAAGAATCCAAATCTGTGTAAACACACATCAGCCCTGTGCCACCGCCCCCCCCCTCATCCCCAGCCCTGGAGGTCCTGGCTTTCGGAATTCTTGGGCTCTGTAGTCTCTTCCTGCTAAACACAGCAAGAGTATCCTTTACTTTGACTTCCTTTTGCGGGCCCAGCTTGGGGAACAACCTGAAAAGGTTTCAGCATGTAACTGTCAACAAGGGAGCCTGCCAAATCTGAGTCTGAACAGAAATAAACCCAAATTGGCAGAGAGGTGGGGAGCGCAGCCATGCAATTTTATCACAGCCTGATCCTCTCCAGGGATCTATAAAACAGCTAACTCTCGGTGAGGACTGAAAAGCTCAGAGAGAAAGAGGCAGCACAAGAAGGGACTAGACACCAACAAGGTACCAGTGGTTTAAAAATAAATGAACCCAGGCATCCCACCAGAAGCCCACACTGAATCGACCATGGGGCCCGGTGCGGGACACTGGGCTCTGATGCTAGCTCCACCTCCCGTGCACAGGAGGTTCATTTTACCGTGTTTCTCTTAATCAGATCTGTGAAATGGAAATGGAAATATTCATTGTATAGGGCTGTTGCTGATTTCCTAAAACTGGAAGCACTACATAGCGCTGTAGGTAAGAAAGAAATTTTTAAAGCCTCTAGAAAAGGGTTTGCCTCTTCCTCTTCCTACTTATGTGACTTTGGCTATGTTATATAAGCTCTCTCAGTTCAGCCTTCTCAAAAGGGGATGATAATACCATCTTTGTGGGAATAGGTGCATTGACTAAATAAGTTCATGTACATAAAAATACTTTGTATATGCCTAGCCTAAAATAACTGCTCAAAAAATGGGTTAGAAGAAGACACAAAAGGAAATTCAAATAAGATTAAATATGAAAGAGCTTGGAATAATATAAAATATCTTGCTGTCTTATAGTTGATTATAAAATATGTGCTATACTTATTAATAGTTACATTTATGTATGCCCAATCACCTGTTTGACATATATTACTTGATAAGGTCTGATAGTGTTGGTGTCATGTGATTTGAGCCTTTGCTATATATACTGTTGGTACTACCTTTCCAATCCCCTGCAATGGTCTTAAACATTCCACACTTTTGCCATGGACTCCTGGAGGTAAACTGTACCTACCCATGTCTTGACTTCAGATTTGGTCAGGTTACTTGCTTTGGCCTATTGGAGTTAGCAAGACAGCTGTAAATGTGTTTGTACAGGGGACTTGCCCTTATATTTCTGCCATCACCATAGGAATAGTTCCCAGGAGCCACAGTTTTCAAAATGACAAGAGATATATGAAGCAGATCTGAAACCAACCACAGATTAAGTCAAGTCCAGCCAAACCAAAACCAACCAATGAATATTTGAGCATGATACAAATGCTTATTTTTGTATGTGACTGGATTTTTTGATTTTTTTTTCCTTTTAGGGACCATTGCAGTGTCAATAACTGAATGATTGAAGAAAAAACAAACACTAGTTTTTAGAGGTAAGAAGGAAAATTCCTGGTTTCTCCAAATAWCAACCTTCCCTGAAACTTCTGTTTTGAGTGGCAGGAATAGAAACCTCTGGAGGGACAAGGTTCTATGATACTCTCTCTGCTCAAGTGGGTAAAAAAAAAAAAAAACATAGGTTATTTTCTGATGAGTCTCCCATAATATTGGGCCAATCTCTGAACAGTCTGCTTGTGGATTGTTTCTCATTTGGTCTGTTCGGTTAACAGATAACCCCATGAAATCTGCAGAATGAAGGGCCCTGAAAAGTAGTTTTTAAAAGTAGTTGAGATCCAGAGATGAAAGAGATCAAGAAAATTCAAAGACAAACTGCATGATGGAATCTGTTTTTGGTCTCCCATCTACCAAAGCTCCCCTTTCTATGTTTATCTCTCCCACCTCCCAGGAAACCAAGGTGTCTCCCCACTAAGCGGGCACACGCAAAATCTGCCCAGGCAAGAATCTAGTATCAGTCAATTAATCCTGGTTGCATTTAAATCTATATTACTTCTCCTAAGAATACTCTCATACCAGGCCTATATCTCGAATTGTGAAATATGATATATTTTCTGCAATAACAATAATAATAACCACAAACTACAATAAGCATGGAAAGTTGCTGAGTGATTTTCTTGGGGCGGGAGGGAGGAAAGGGAAAGTGTCCCCAAATTCCTGAAAATGTGGCACACATAGGCACCTTTTACTAGATGATTCAAGTATTTAAAGTATATTCTACATATTCAGGGTGTCCTTTAAATTAGCATTAATTTAAAGAGTAATCTTTAATTTAGCATCCTGTTATAATAGTAATCATTTTGAATGTGTGTAACTGACACATAGAACAAAATGAAATGGCTGTTAAAAAAAGGGGGAGTCCTACCTTCAAGAACACTCGGTAAGACATTAGGACAGACAAGAGTTACCATCTTAGGGAGCCTATGCTGCAAATGCATGCAAAGTCCAGAGAGTGGAGCTTTCAAAAGACMGGTGGTTGGAATTCTACCAGGCAAAGTTTTAAAATCTTCAGCATAAATGTAAATCTACTTAACTAATAGTATTGACTAATTCCCTGCTCTGTCTTATGATTCGTTTCTAAGGCCATGTTGGCTCATTTTCACAGTATCGCTGAAACAGGCACCAAACATTAGGCCATTTACGCTGGGATGACTGAAGAGTGGAACTAGAAGAACCCACACCTGCTGACTCCTTTCCAAGAAATCACAATTCAGGAAATACCTTTAAAATTCAATGGTGATAAAGTCAAGATTCAATAAATGGGTGTGAATGTGTCATTGAAAAAAAATTATTTCTATTAAACTGTGGGAACATGAACTTGGTCAACATGGTCATGTAGACACCCACGTCGCTATAGTCAGAAGAGCTTTGGAATCATGAATGAATGAATAAATGAATGAATGAATGAATGAATTATAGAGTTTGGCTGGGTAATCCATATTCCACTAACATGTATTTAGTTATTTCTTTTTCCCAGAGTAGTTCTATGATATCGCTGAGAGAAAATGAGGCTATCCACATAACTTCAGATGGCCCATGAGAGGCTTTGTTCAGGATAACACCAAGCASTGCCTTTGCAAACAGTGTTGAAAGTCACCTTCACATACTCAACAAGACCCCAGCAAGAGAATCAACCAAATCAAATGGACTTTTTAAAAAATTTTAATATGAGTTTCTATTCATAAATTAGAGCAAGAACGTCGGTGTTTATTTAGGAAAAGTCCTCTCTCCCATAAATTAAGGGGAACAAATTCAGCTGACAACTCAAAATTACCTTTTTTAACAAAGAAGGACAAGGCAGGAGTAGGAGTAGGGGTGAAGGAGAAAATTTAGAAAGCACTCTGTAATGCTACGGGAAAGCTAAGTATCTAAAGAAACATTCTAAAACAGAGAGAGGATTTTCATGAAAATAAGCACTCCCTAGAGTTTTTAACATCCTGGGCTCACCCAAGCTGTGCTGGGAAGTGAAAACTTGCGAGGAGCAAAACATTGGGAGAGTTTTATTTGCAGCCATAAGTTATCCCATATGGTTGGGGAGTGATTTCTTACACTAGGGATAGGAAGTTGAATTAACTTGGCTGTTTTCTACAAGGAGAAAGAAAGACGAGGAGGGTGGGCCTGATTTCCGTGTCATAACTGAGTCCAAGGGTAGAGGCAATAGCAAATCATCTCAAGTCAGTATCGTCTTTGGCGACTGAAAAAAATTATGGCAAGAGTGATAGTGGAATAAAGCAATGGAATGGAAGGCAGAAGCAGAAATAGAAAAGACAGACCCGTGATTACCAGCCAATGAGAAAGGCATGGCAATAAATACCAAAGGTGCAGAAGGAGGAAGAGAGGAGGGGAGAGGAAGTCAGTGGCAGGAAGATCAGTCTGCAGCGAGGATCTAGGATGTAGACAAGGTATAAAATTACCAGGTAGCGGAGGGCCTGGACTGTGACAGATAAAAATCAAGATAATACAAGGCAATGATCAGACAAGCCAAGGTGGAGAATGAACACAAGGTAAGTTACATGAAAGATTGAAATAACTAAGACTTCTTAAGTATATAAAGAAAAACAGGTCAGAAATGGCAATGGGAATTTATTGCCAGAAGAAGTAAAAAAAAAAAAAATTAAGGGAATTTTCCACCTGAGTATTCACAGAGGACAGGGGTGGGGAAGGGGAGGTATATGCCAGGAACAGGCATAAATTTTCAGAAGGAGGAAGGAGAAAGGTATAAGGAAATCAAGCTTAACCATAGAATCAGCCATCAAGAAACTGCAGAATTCCCAAGTCTCAGAAAAGTCCAGGGGCAGAAAGGCCCTCCAGCCCAGAGCCTGACGGTTTAGGGCAGAAAGTATTTTAGGAACCTTCTCACAGGGATTTTGCAAAACTAAAAGGGAGAGGCTAGGCACAGTCCTGGGGAGGTAACATGATATCAATTGAGGATGATGCACGATCCACCCTCGGGTTACCATGTGATGAGACCTAAATCCAGTGGGGAGGTGACACCCAGCTCGTTCCTCATGACTGGCATTTTCCCTCTGACAAGCAGTTGTCGGTAAGAGCTGTGTGTGTGGGTAATAAAATGTCTGGTATTTGTACACTCGCAAAGGCCAGTTGTTCTCATCCCAGCCTTTAGCTATGGCTCCAACATGGCTAAGTGATCACGGTCTCTTTTGACCCTCGAGCTCTCGGAGGCCTTCTCTGACCTCTTCCAGGGAAGAAAAATCACCCAGTCAAGCAGGGAATTGAGGGAGGAGGAAGAAAGTCTCTGGGGAGCCAGGCTCTGGGGCTTGGGTTTTCGTACTGACCTCACTCTTCATTCATATCATATTTTCTATGCTGAGTTTCCCTGTGTCACACTTTTTTATTTCTTTGGTTTTACTATATTGTAAACATCTTTGCAAGCTGCATTTTGGAAAAGGCTGAGAAAAGCAGAAAAGTGGAAGAAATGAGAAAAAAAAGGGGAGAGGGGGTAAAGAGGAGGGAAGAAGGGATGAGGGAGACACTATTAGTTAATTTCTCAGGGGTGACTACAGGGTCAAGAAAAGAGCAACTACATGGGTCTGAGCAAGAGAGAAAATTGAGTTAGAAAGAAGTAAGAGAAAATCCAAAAAGGGAAAGAATATCTAATAAGGTGGGGTTAAAAGAGGGAAGAGTCGACATAATTGTAAGAAATGAAGGATGGGTTTGGAGGACAGAGTTAAGCAGGGGGCAGAGATGTGGTGGAACCTACGATGGTTCAAGTTAGAAGACCGAATGAATGTACAAATCTAGAAAAGAAGAAGCACATCATTCCTCCATCGATACTTGGCTTTGAAGAGGGCCCAAGGAGACAAGAAACCAAGATGGTGAGAGAGGAGAAGTTGCATGAAACCAAAACAGCAAACAAAGAGGAAGACAGAAATTTAGGGATAATCTTTTAAAAAATGTCACCTCCCTGAAGGTGTCTTTGGATGAACTTTCACTATAGCATTGAACCTGATCAAATCAAAAGCTGATTTGTGGGACAGAACACACACTTTCACATATACAACACACCCCACATCACATACATATACACACATTTCAATCAAAATGAACCAATGTAGACTCCCTTGGAGGGAATAAAGAAGGAGAGATGATATAGTTTGATTCCGGAATGTTCCCCATAGGCTCATGTGTTAAAGGCTTAGTCTCCAGTTTGGTGGAATCTTTAAGAGATGAGATCTAGTGAGCATTCTTCTAGTTGTTGGGGGCTAGGCTATCTTCCAGGAGGATAGTCTGACCCAGTCTGTTCCTCTCTTTTTGCACCTAGACATGAGGTAAATGGGCTTTTTCTACCACACAATCCTGCTACAATTAATTCCCTCACCACAGGCCCCAAAGCAACAAGGCCAAGTAGTCATGCACCAAAACCTCTAAAACTGTGAGCCATAATACATATTTTCTCTCCATAAGTTGATTACTTCAGGTATTTGTTAACAGAAACAGAAAATGGACTAATACAATGATTAACCTATGAAATTTGATAGTGGCAAATACAAGTTACCCTAATATTCTAGTTAATTGATACCATAAATTTTTATGCTAAAACCATACATTGTAAACAGGAATGATTATGCATCTGTACACAGGTCACTGAAAATGGCTTTAAAAAATATTTCTTATACTAATGTCAAAAAATCTTACCTTAGTCTAACCAGCTCACCATCAGGAAAATAGTCCATAATTCTTTCAAAAAGTCAATCATTTGACTTTACAAAACTTCAAGCTTCAAAGTAATAGAATGTCACTTAGGTAATTTTCCCATGGGGCAATGCCTTTTGCAAGAAATAAGTRTATCTATAATATCAATTAGTAGCTAAAATGTTATGCCTGTCCCTCTTCTCCAGGTGGCCTGATTCATTGCACATTTCTCAGCCAGAAATGTCTGTACCTACCACATTATTTTTTAATATTCAATGTGGAGCCAAGACCAGGGGGTGTTCACTTCTATTTTGTCAGGAAAATGGAGTCCATGAAGAAGAAATTGCGTGACAACAGTGTCAACTAAATTAGAACAAGAAAAGGTGTCATCCTGTAATCTAGGGTAAAAAGAATTGGTTTACTCTAGTTTATGAAAATAACTCCAGTCCTGAAAATATCATCCCTCCTCTGTACCCTAATCCTTGCCCCTGCCCACAAAAGTGTGCTTATACAGGAAGTCAGCCATTTACAGTGACTTTAACCCATAGATATGCATTTGCTTTTTCAACAGCTAAATGTTTAACATTTTGATTGACTAAAAAACAACTTAAATCTACCACTGAAGGTGACCTACTCCTCTTGAAAAATCAGAGCTTCAAACAGCATTCCCTCCAGTCAACTACTGTCAGTTGCTGAGTAGGCTGTCTGTTTGGGACTGGACGTGGCTCTCCAGTTCAACCCAGTCTCCCCTCAGGGAACATCACCCCTTGTGGTAGCTGCTTGGACCCTGTGGATAACTGAATTTCCAATGTTTGTACTGAAGAAAACTTAGGACTCCTGAATACATTGCAGAGTCTCGTAAAATGAGGGTCACCATTCTGCTCTTCTCTAAGAAGGCCAAAAAGAGCAGGTGACGGGTCAAAATGACCTCACTGTACACCGTGTTCAGGGCCTAACCGGCCCCTGCCTCTCTTTGAATAACAGAATGAAGCGAACTTCTGGATTTTGACATTACTTAACAAATCAGATTAGGAATTTCATCATTTTTTTAAATGTAGCTACCTATTTTTTCTTTTATTGCTATTTTTCTTCATTATTCTATCTTAAACCTGATGTTGATAATCTTGCTAATAATTATAATTATATTATGGAATATTTACTTTCCAATGTCCTCTTTCAAAAACTCAATATGTATTTTATTATGACTTTAATAAAGATTATATGAATAAACTAATTTGTTATGATGCTGGCATTTTTCAACATTTACCTTGAAAAATAACACTGGGTCTTTTGAACATAATGACCTGAAGTTTCTTGGAATAATTTGATAATTTAGTTTAAGTATTATCAACTAGAAGGATGATAAACTATACTGAAACTTCCATTTCACTTCATTATAAAGTCTCATTCTGCATGCAGGAGGAAAACAACAGATGAAGCAGCTAGGCCCTGACCCGTGGTAACCTTATTGCCAGCAAGGCAAGCTCTGGTTAGAAAAGGGCACGCGCTGCAGTCTTAGGATCTATAAG